GTGATCAATGTCAAAGAAGTGGAAATATTTCTAGGAAAAATGAGATGCCTTTGAACAGTATGCTTATATGTGAGTTATATGATGTTTGGGCTATATCATTACCCACTAATGATGCTAGGGAAGTTGTTAAGTTCTTGAAGAAAAATATTTTCACTAGGTTTGGCACTCCTAGGGCAATCATTAGCGATGGGGGAAAACATTTTTGTAATAAACAATTTGAGGCACTTTTAAGTAAGTGTGGAGTAACTCATAAAGTTACAACCCTATATCATCCACAAACTAGTGGCCAAGTTGAGGTTTCAAATAGAGAATTGAAAAGGATTCTAGAAAAGACTGTTAATTCTTCTAAAAAGGATTGGTCATTGAAACTTGATGATGCACTCTGGGCATATAGAACAGCTTTTAAAACTCCTATTGGTATGTCTCCATATAGGTTAGTTTTTGGAAAAGCATGTCACTTACCTATTGAACTTGAGCATAGAGCATATTGGGCAATGAAATTTTTAAATTTTGAGATGCAAGCTATAGGTGAAACAAGACTTTTACAATTGAATGAAATGGATGAGTTTCACCAAGAAGCTTATGAGAATGCCAAAATTTACAAAAAAATGCACTAAAAAGTGGCATGACAAATACATTCTGAAGCGTGAGTTTGCAGTTGGTGATAAAGTGTTGCTTTATAACTCTTGGCTTAGACTTTTTCCAGGGAAATTGAGGTCTAGATGGTCAGGTCCATTCATGGTGACAAGAATTTGTCCTTATGGTGTGGTGGAAGTATCTCATGATACAAAGGGCACGTTTAAAGTGAATGGTCAATTGTTGAAACCCTACATAGATGGCGGATACAACAAGCATGTGATGGGCATTGAGTTGCATAATCCAACTTGATCATCTAAGGATAGTCAAGCTATTGACTGTAACTAAGCGCTTCTTGGGAGGCAACCCAAGCATTAAATTTTATTTTATTTTATTTTTAATTTTTGTTTGTTATTTTGATAGTGTAGATTTCATTATTTAATTAGTTTTCCTACATGACCTAGGCTGATGCAAAAGTATGAAGGAAATTCAACACTCACTAAGATTAGAAGCATTTCAACCCAAGTTTTAGCTTCCAATGTTCAACTGCTCATATGGGGAAGTTTTTCTTCTACTTATAATCCATTGAAAACGGTGATAGCTTGAGTTTGGTGGTTTAAATTTATTTTTGGCTGTTCAATATCTATATACTGTGCTTGATTATGCTTTTACCATTGTTGATTATGCTGCTGAAATTTGGTAACAAAGCTCTTATTTCATGACACTAAGTTAATTGTTATGCCTTGCTTATTCTTAGCATTGTTTTTTACATGAAATTGAAGGAGTTTGGGCTAAATATTGGACTGCACATTATTAGTAGAGGAAGTCTAATTGCTTCTTAAGCATGAAACTTGTTTATGGTTTTTGAGCAAACTATTTATGGGTTCCGAGCAAGCTCAGTGATGAGGGAATGACAAATTGTTGGGTCATGCATGAGAAAAAAAGTTTAAAAAAAAAAAGAAAAAAAGGGGTTCACATCACTTATTAGGTTTTGTTGTTTCGTCAACTTTGGGTGAATTTGATTTGCTTAATTGCATAGTCTAGCTTATAAACTATTTCGTTGTTCCTAATTGTTGGACAGGTCATTAAACAAGTTTGGGGGACAAGATTTTAAACATTTACATGCTAGAAGTCTCCTTTCATTGAAGACAATTCAACTCCAACACCCAAATCTCAAATTTTCAAGTGTAAAACCTGGGAAGTTTCTCTTTTCTTTTACTTTTATTTTACATTGAGAACAATGTTTGATTTAAGTTTAGGGGAGAGAATAACTTTTAGGTGTCCATTCTTATATTAGTTTGCATATTTGCATCACATGCATTTTTTTTTTTTAGCAATTAGGGTAATTTTTTTAGGAGTTGGTTCAATTAGTGTCAAAGAATTAAATATTCTTGAGTCAGAAATCTGAAAACTTTTAAAATCTTTGAATCTTATAGGAAATACAAAATCTGAAAAATAACACCATTGTGATGAAGTTTACATTCATGAGTATTATATTTCAATTGAGCACAAGTTTGTGGTGAGAAGTTTAGAAGGAAGACTTAGAGCACCTAAAAAAAAAAAAAAGGTCAATACAATAGAGTTAGTTAATTTTTACTCCAGTGTTTCTAGTTGCTTAGTAACTGGGGGTTAGGCATGAGACCCTTGTCAGCTTTCACGTCAAACAGTGACTTGAAATATGAGTATGCAAAGCACTTTAAGTTCATGACTTGTTGAGTAACCAGGTGCTTTCATTACAAATGTTAATATTCATGTTAAAAGGCAAGTGATAGCTTTGGGGAAAATATGTCGTATGACTTAAAAAAAAAAAAAAAGTTGAAAGTTTTATGGCCTTTGTTACTTGAGTAAGTATGTTCTTAGGGGTGCCTTTTCACTTAATGCCCTAAAACCAACTGGTTTGGCAACCATTGACAGAAAACTTGTTACATGAGTAACTTAGAAAGCCTAAGGAACTCAACTAAGAAAAAAAAAAAATCAAAAGTGTGAAGGTCTAAATTTGAAAACTTCTCATTATAAATTTTTACACACACACTAAGCGCTCATGAACTAAATCTTTTGATAAGTGATGTGAAGAATAGGATGAGTATTTGACTTTAAGTGAGTATATGAAAACTCTTGAATATTTGAGACTTTGTATCTAATTGAATTTTAATTCCTAAGTTTTCTTTGCATGCATATCATATAGTTGCATTTTTGCATTAGGATTTTGTGGGTAGATCCATTGAAAACCCTCACGAGACACAACTCGTCCACTAGGGTGACCTAGGGGTTTAAAGGCTTATTGCACATGATAAGTGCAATCGTGATTCCTACGAAAGTGAGTTAGATTTTATTTTTGTTATTTTATTTTATTTTTATTTTGCTCGAGGACTAGCAAAACTTAAGTTTGGGGAAATTTGATCAGCCTAAATTCCATACAATTATACATGGCTTTTTAGTCATGAATTGGAGTCTTCTATATTTTATTGGAATGATTTTTTTGGTTTTACATTGTTTTTAACATTCTTTGTAGGTAGAGGGTAAAACTAAAGAAATCGAGAGTAAATGGGTTGAAGTGACAAAAGTTGAAAACATACGGTCTGATTCCATTATTTCCCCATTCGAAGCCAGAATTGAAAATTTTTTTTCCATACACGTGGGCATAGCATTGTGGGCTTTATCTTATTGTGGAGATGAGATGGGCTTTCTAAAGAAAGGCACACGGTTCTCTAAAGAAGGGCACATGGTTGGATATAACAAGGGAGGAGGTTGGCAGAACTAAAAAAGGGATTTTGGAGGCAGACCAAGCAAGACTTCCGAGCGGTTGACTGCAGAAATCGAGAAGCAGCCAACAGAGATGAAAAGGATCTATGAGGCAAAACCAAAGGGGGATTGCTACGTGGGTGACAAGGGAACTAAGGGCAGCCACAGAGGGGATTTAATTCGAAGAAGAGGACAAGCGCGACAGTGAAGGCTACAAATCTGATTCTAGTGGTCCAAAAATTGGGTTTTTGCCCTTCTACACTTACTTTTTCCTTTGTTGGATATGGAATTTTGGTTCATCAATTTAATCTCAGATTTTATCATATTTAGTATGAACTAATTTAGCCATCTAAGGCTACGATATAGCCTGATCAATTTAATATAGAATTTCATGATTTTTATACTTTCAAGGGGTATTATTTTATGTAAAGTATATATTATTGTTGTTAATGCTTTTTAATGATTGGCCACCATTAAAATTGATTTGGAAAGCATAATTGAGACCGAGAGGAGATTTTATGCAATAGCTTCTAGTAATATATACCATCAATTGAACGAAAGCCAGAGACGGACCAACGTGATTTGTGCAGCATTAGTGATAAGTGAACTTAATTTTCTACGTAAACTAGGGAATTTCATGGAACATAATGCATCTTTATCTATTTAAATTCACATAGAGATATAGTGGATTAATAGGTGAAGATAGATTTGGTATAACTTGAGAAAGTATATCAAATAGGATAAGAAATCCCGTTGTCACATAAATAATAAATACCTTAGAAGTATATTAATCTAAATGCTATATTAGTTGATTATGGTGAAATTGGACACCTTAGAATTTTAATTCTTGGTGTTACTCAAGTTCAATTTAGTTTTTCTTTAATTAATTTAGTTGTTTAATACATTCAAATCATTTAATTTCAATTGTTTAAATAAAATTAGAATTCGTTAATTTTGATACTTAATTAGTCTACAGTCTCTGTGGGACGATACTTTATTTTCATCATTATATTACTTTAATTGACTAGTACACTTGCTAGAGTGGAATGAGCTCATCACATGCCTACTTGGAATTTAGTTGTTTTGGAAATTTGAAATTGGTTTGTAAATTATGGATTTTCCTGTAACTTTTTCATGGCTTAGTCTCTAATAGGGTCATGTTTTATTGTACCCGTTAGTGGGAGGTTTATAAACGCTAGCATATGTTGACATGTATTCTTGGAAACTAGTTTGTCTTGTTATTCTTGTCAGTGGGATAGTACACTAGTTATTACTATGCCTGTCAATGGGAGGTTTATAAATGCTAGCCATGACCAATTGAGGAGACGTCTATTTCATTTTCGTACTTGTACCGGTTTTTTTTCTTGATACTTGATTACACTTATTGGCATGCTATAACTTTAATTAAGGGCTATCCATATTTTTACTTACTGAGTTATCTTATATAATTTTCTTTGTCCACCATTTTAGGTAGTGAGACCCAAAACGTGGGAAACCAAGGGGAGGGATGAGCTAGAAGACTAGCCACATGTGTTTTGGATTTAGATTATTTTGGAGTTAGGCTACTAGTTAAATTATTTTTGGACATAGAGTTGTATTAATTTCTTAAATTATAAAGTTAGATTTTATTTCGAGATTTGGATCTTAGTTTAGTGGATTACTAGATATGAATTAAACATGTTATGAGCCTTGTGCATTTATGGGATCCTCTTACAAATGTACAGCGTTTGTTTCGCTCCAAATTCTGGGGTGTGACAAAACATCTTTAAGTGACTTGCATTGCCTTTAACAAACTCAACAATTTGATTTCCTAGTATCACTACAGTGTCTTATCAAAAAAGCTCACCTCTAGCAGTGCTAACATCCCTAGCATTGTCTTGTATGCATGAAAATTGAAATTAGCATGATCATCAAGAAACTCATCAACCTTGGAAGGTATTTGGCCTTTCACTTTTCTTTTTCCTATCCATGAGGATGCCAATGAAGCAATCTCGCTTGTATAGCCACTGTCACGCCCCAAAACCCAATTTCGAGACGCGACAGACGCCGTGCACTCATGAGAGGGTCCCACAAATGCACAAGGCTCGGAACTTATCATATTCACACTCTGATACCATCAAAATCTGAAGATCAAATTAAAAAATCTCTCTGATATCATAAATCTCCAAATAAACTCTAGCTTACTAGATCACGATCTCTAGAATCTAAATCAATCTCGAAATAGCTAGCCTTCTAACTCGTCACTTCCCGTGGTTTTCCTGTCCTCGGTTTCATTTCCTGAAATGGTGGACAAGAAAAACTATGAGATAAACTCAATAAGTAAATATGGAGTGCCCCTTATTTAAACTTATAGCATGCCACATGTGCAATCACGCAAAACGGATACAGTACGGGAATGAAATAGACGTCTCCTCTATAGGTCACGGCCAGTGTATAATCCCCACTAGCAGGGCCACTATTTGCTGGTGTATAACCCCCACTAGTTGGGTTGAACGAACCGGCTCTCTCACTAACATGTCGACATGTGCTAGTGTTTATAACCTCCCCCACTAGCAGGGTCACGAATAACATGACCACATCGGAGACAAAACAGGTAGAAGTTAACAGGAAAATCAC